TAATTTGTCGTACAATTAAAATTTGTCACAAAAATCTGTGGTTGCTGTCCTTTGTTAACCAGAACCATATGTCGTTTAGCATGTATTGTTAAAAACTATACAATCAGTAACATTAATTTAACTTATGAACTAACACATCAGTTAGGTACTTATATTTGAGATTAACTGACTGTGTAAAACATGTTGTAAATGGTGATTGATCATGTCAATCCCCCTGTTTGGGTCATAAACGATCTAGCTAGATTCTTAGACAGTAAACTTATTAATAGTCTTTCAAGTGCAGAGACAAACAGCTGTTCCATTTCTCCTATACTCCAGGAAAAGATTCCATGACCTAACTTTCCTCGATATTGATACTAATAATTACCATAATCATAATGACGTAGACGTACTAGTTTTTCGGTCGGCTTTTAGATCAAAAACTGATTCTGTTGATTAAATGGATAATAATAAATTAGCTTTCACGCACGACTTTGCCCGTGTATTTCTACCATGGGAGCATTTAATCGGGATATATCACCGAAGTCGGCCCATACCCAGCCTGTATACCAAATTTCTAAAGCTCAGATCCAGTCCAATGGACTAAGCATACCATAAGAGGCATAACTTAATGGCGTAAGCTGTGATGTTATGTGTCAATTTTGAAAATAATGCAAATTTCTTAAACCGACATAGAAAAATTTAATTGCGGTCAGGATAAAGTTCCTTCTTGGTGGTAACCGATATTAAGATATCAGTAATCCCCCAAGATATCCTGAGGGTTTCAGATCAGCTGTGATCTGAAAAAATTTAGTGGATAGTTATCCTTTTGAGGCGATCCTTTCTAAGATGTGTGTGCCTTTGTATGTCACCTTTTTATTCAATACAGACGATTAGAAAATTAGAAACGAGGCAATAAAATACCTCAGAAATATATAACATCTGTTTTTGTTCAGATCAAATACAATTATTATTGAAAAAATTAAAAATAACAGGTTTTCTATTCAATACCTTTCATCAAAACATGTATATGTTTTTAGATATTTGCTATTTTTCTTAGTTTTTCTATTCTGTGATTTTACCACATCATACCAGGTAGTACGACTGCGGTCAACGCAGTCATACTACCTCACATTGGCGTCTGTCACTTCCACCAGGCGATAACAAACACGTCTCAATTAAATAAGCTTCGAATAACGGTCAAGTCAAATTAATGGAAGCGTTTTACCTACCAATAAAACGCATATTAATTTACTTACCTTATTCGAAGCTTATAGTCAAGCTCTGCCTGGTAATGAGACTCAATGAAATAAAAATGGCGAGTCTCGCTTAGCAAGACTCCCCACCACTGCCAAGTGGAAGTGACGTAGTAGAAAGAGATAGACATATAGAAAAAGCGGAAGGAGGGAAGCGGAAGGCCTATCTCAATTAAATAAGCTTCGAATAAGGTAAGTAAATTAATATGCGTTTTATTGGTAGGTAAAACGCTTCCATTTTGGTACCCAAATGCTTATACGATAAAAATTTAAACGCCATGTTAGCAATACGCCCTTTCCCATGCTCGTCTATCATAAACGTGCTGACCCCTCAAGAATTTTATGGGACACCGTAATGTCTTACAAATACCTACTCGCCGATTTATCGCACTTTCACGGTTCAATTCTCATCGTTATCCACGGACTGTAGTAAATCAGAAAGAAATTATAAGGGATGATATATTGTTTTCTTACCTATCTCACATGCTAAATGCCTTTGAATATGCTTAGCTTAGGTAAACGCTAACGTATTTTACTTATCTAGATAATATATATAAAGTATAGATGAGGCTGATTGATTCAGCTTTATCGGTTCATAACTTGCATTAACAAACCCTTAGTTTTCCAAGGGATAGGCTTGTACCTAGTCTTACAATAGTGCCCTCTCCCGATGCTGCCATGTCTGCTCGTTTGCCAGTCTTTGCTGCATGCCAAAAAGTGTGGGAGAGCCATGCTTCGGCACGAATGGGCTGGCTCGACCGGAGTGATACCACGGCCTCACAGAAAACCGACGTGAAACAACGCTTGCGTTATGATTCGTCGTGTGAGTGAGGTTACCAGAGGCTCAGTTACCCCTCCTCCCCTTTCCCAATTCCTGAATACTACTACCCAACAATATTCAAATTCCTAATCCCTCCCTAAAAAAAATTCTTCACCAGACCCGGAGCTAGCTATAGCCTATCCACTTTTGGTAGTCGCATTCGCAATTAAGGTTTCTAGACCGAGACAAAATACTTACAGAGTAGGTATCACCTTTTCTAAGGCACGAGTGGCGCGGCGAAATACACTCCTGTAAACCTTTTCAGTAGATACAAAACTCCATATAGGTATGTAAGTACCTGTAATCCGAAATAACCGTCTCACTGACGATATTATTATTAGGTAAGTAATATTAATTAATATAGCCATTCCTAAATTCATAGCTTCGTGCTCAAGGACATCGCTTTACGGTTTGCAAACAATCGTTTCGAATTTTATTACTCTTCCTCGCTGTCTGAAATATAGGCACTTAATAATTTAGATGAATTTGCTTTTTGCTTCAGTAACTATGTGCGTATTTTGCTTAATACGTTTTACTTGACAATTTTATTTTATTTATTTATATTTAGCCATGTTCGCCGCACTGCAAGGGCCAACCTTCCTTCCACAGTGTAGAGTTTATAATAGTAGTAAAGAGTTTTTATAAAGGGGCAAAACCGCCACAACCTTCTGAAATCGATGCAACTCCTGTAAGCCAAGATCTACAGAAGATACAACCACGAAAACACCGGTACACTGGAGTCCGGCGCGTCTCAGGGACATGAATAACTGTCTTGGTTCTCGTAACGAAATGAATCAGAAGATATTAATAGAGAAGAAAAATAACGACTGCCTCGTTTGCTGAATGGTTGCAAGTGCGACTGCTGGAACAGGAGTATCGGGTTCGATTTCCGGGTCGGGCAAAGTACTACGAGGTGTTAAAAAAGAAATATCAGCAGCTGCACGGAGTCTGGAATTGAGCCCGGTATATGACAATAGGCACACCCCCTATTACATAGGACTCATAACATAAATAGTGAAAAGTTGGTGTTGGTGTTCAGTGGCATTAAGTGCCGTAATGTGTACCTACTCTGCCTACTCCTTCGGGGATAGTAGGCGTAATGTTATGTGTAAAAAAACGATAGAAAATAAACGATAGAGAAAAAACGGTAAGGAGCTTAGCAATGTTAACTAGAAAGCTGGTAAAAGGCATGATTATTATAGTACCTGTCTGACTATGATTTTATATGAAGAATTTTGTCTAAACACGCAGACGGAACATCGAAACAAGGCAGAGTTCGGCGCCCTGATTGGTTAGTTCATTGGAGCCGACCAATCACGAGCGCCGCAATCTTACTCGTGAGAAGGTACCATTGCCTTGCTAGTCTTTGGGAGAACAGTTGTGTCTTAAGTACACACATATAGTTCAACTGGTTTGTATACCATACAAAAATAAAGGTCACTTTCCTGTTTATATGTTTATTGCCAGCATAAAGTATACCTAAACTTACAAATTATACATTGAGTATAATAATTTGAAGTCTTCTTTCAGATATATTTGTATAAAAAACAAATCAATGACATATCTAATACGAAGTAACTACAAATAAATGACTTACTTACCTAATTAATGAATACTACTTATGGGTTATTCCTATGGGTTATATAAGGTTGACTGTTAGAAAAGGTCACTAGGCATTAAGTCCGCCATTGTATACAATTTTTAAGAAGTGTAAATAGATAGATAGTTATTCCTACATTCAAAAGCTAGATTTGATGCCGATGCTGACTCTAGAAATATGCGAGTTTTATTTCAATATTTGTGCCGAAGTGTGCGAAGACGGTTATTAAGAATTACAGAATACTAGATTTACAAAATTCAATGGTAGCGCCACCCACCATCATAAATAAAATGTCAATCAGTTAAATTGGTGAGGAAAAGAAGTAGACGAGTTATATCTTCTATTTAATTCTATTGTCTCCTGTAGGTGGCACTACAACCTATAATTACAAATTTGGATTTTTGAGTATAATAACTTGGATATAAAATTACCGTAACTTCTTACTATTTCATATCCATGTAGTTAGCTACCTCGTCAATATTATGTCACACAGTAAATTAGTAATAACATTATGCACCATTTTTCAATCAACAGTTAATTCTTAACTGTTGAATTAATTATCAGATAGAATTCAACAGGCGTTGGGAAAATCAGCCCATTAATCAATGCAAGCTTATTATGACAAGCCTCTCTTACATGGAGGAAGCCTAGAGTTAAGCAGTTGACTGTTCCAGTCCATTAATACTTTTTTTAAGTTAAATTGATCTAAAATTAACCATAAATTACAGGTTACTCACGTGAATATACTCTAAACATCTAGACATCGCCACTAGACACATAGACTTGAGACATCGCCGCCACCGCGCACGCTGCTTGTGAGGAAGAGCCCCTCTGCGGCTCGAAACTAGTATAGCTTTTCTCAGTATATTCACGTGAGTAACCCGCGATTTTTATTTAATTCAGTATGTCTCACGATAGTTATTATAAAAAGATAAACGGATCCTATAAATGTAATTAATCTTCACTCATTATAATAACGAATCTTAAGCGATAATAGGAACAAAGAAACAACTGAATAACGAAAAAACAGTATTAGCTCTCTACGTAACTTATACAGCAGCAATATAATAAACAACAGGTGGTTTCAATTAAAAAAAACTTTTAACATTTTATGTCTACTTAAAAATATATCACCAATTAAATAACAGCCATATGCAATAACATAAAAGTTATTCCATTCACACCTTAGGTACTTGAATTTCGCACTATCATACTCACAAAGAGTACAAAATAATACAAAATACTATAAACGGAACGAATTTACGGTGCGATATTTAAATAAACATTGTCATTATTTCTTTTCCTGCTACAGGCCCACAGGCAGAAATTCCAGTTGGAATATGTTGGACCTATGTACTTTGTTTTTATGTATGTGTTGTCCTTTGTGTTGTATGTGTGTACATAAATAAACAATTCAGTGTAATAAACAAGAACTATTATGAAAAACTTTTTTTGGACATATAGCCTGGTGGCGCTAGTGTCGTTTTAGATCTCCATGGCTAATGTTTTGTGCCTCGTCTTAAGATATAATAGAGACTTCTATTTGGTATCAAAGATCTTTAAACCAAAATATACTAAACATATTATAATAATTGCCAGCTGGTATCAGTCTATCAGCCTAGGTAGAGTTCTTCAAAAAAAAAAAAAAATAGGACATCTTACTAATATTATAAATACGAAAGTTTGTGTGTGAGCTTGTAACTTAATTAAGTCAAAACAGCTAAAGGAATCGTGTTGAAATTTGGAACAGGGATTGGAATATGGTCCGGTATAAAACATAGACTACTTGTTCATCCCACGAGAACGCGGGCGAAATCGCGTGCAGAAGCTAGTTTAATGATATTTTTAAAACACCATTATGTCATCGTTCAAAAAACCACACAGTAAATTCGCCCCTAACAGTTCCTCACAAGACACATCATATACTTAAAGACTAGTACATCTACTTAACACTCGAGACTCCTTTAGGAAAATCTAAAGAATAGCTTAAAACACATTTCAATAAACTTAACACAAACCTTTTTGGTTCTTATTCTTACTCCATATTAGATTCACATTCAGATGCACTCTTTTCTGTTGGGGCTAATTGGTCCATTGGTTGGGGTTCAGAGTTTGTATTGTCCTGTGAAAGAAATGGGTTACATTACAATGTCACTTCTGTATGAAACAAGTAACTGTTGCTCGCGACATCGTCCGCGTAGAATATCAATTTTAGAACATAATTTGTTTTTGTTTCAATTTTCCAAAATAAAAGTAGCCTATGTTGCTCTTTAGTACATCAGCCATCTGCCAATAAAAGTCTTACAAAATCGGTCCAGCCATTCCAGAGATTAGCAAATACAAACAGACAGACAGACAAAAAATTTAAAAATTGTTATTATGGTATGTGTGACGTAGTATATTCATATTGACTGTACTGTTGGCGCGGTGGTGGCTGGACAACTGGCTGCCGCGCAACGTGTCGCGGGTTCGATTCCCGCACGGAACAACTCTTTGTGATTGTTATTCCGGGTCTGGGTGTCATGTGTATGTATGTTTGTAAACGCACCCACGACACAGGAGAAAATCCCAGTGCGGGGCAACGATTTAAAAAAAAAATGAATGAAGTAAAAAACAATAATTTGAATATGACAAACAAACACTCCGTTTTTATTTATCTGAACAGAATTAGTGTACACTCTTTATGGTATGACTCGAGCAATCGCTCTCGGGCCACGGCATTTTAACTGAGCACTTTTTGCACCCTGTACATTATTGTTGTTCTATGTTTCTTGTTTTTTTTTCAGTTAATTTCTGTAACGGTGCTTATAAAGTGTTTTTCTATCTATCTTTCTTTCATATTGGGTGTTCCCTACTACTAGAACTACTACTTCGAATACGGTAGTAGACAGATAATCAAATTCAATACTTTCCTTGAAATGTCATAAACAATACTTTTCTATGAATTTTGTATTGGATCGCAACTTATGACGTCATCATATTTCTGCGTCAAATAGCATACTTATTCCCTTAAAATTAGCGAGAAAAAATCCAAAAGTAGGTAAATTGTCAAATCAATGGATGAGAGTGTGATTATTTTTTAATTATTTATTGCATTGAAAAGTTTTATTTTAAACCTAGGAAACTAGCCAATTGAATAATGATTTGTGTTAATCGCGTATATGACATTCTGCATCTACATGTAGGTAATAAAGCAAACTCGCACATGACATTCTGCATCTACATGTAGGTACTTACATTTTCCTTCTCACCAGACGGTAAAGAAGGCGCAGTTTCCATTGGTAGTTCAGAATTTCGAAATTTCTTTGTCCTTTTTCTATACGTCTCATTAAAACGAGCTATGAACTCCGCTTGGTTCACGTAGTTAACAGGTTTCTCCAAGTTGTAGACTGGATTTATCTGTATATCTAAAAATTGATAAAGATTAACATTAACACCGGAATTTTCAATACAAGGATTGATAATTAGCTCGAGATAATATTAATAACAGCAATAAACATGTAAATGAATGTATAGAATAACTCAATATAATTAACAAGTAATCTCTTGGCTTGAAAAGGCTGGAGACAATTACTTTAATTTGTTTATTATAACTAAGTTTGTTAGGCTCTCCTTTTGAAAATGCATTCATTGATATATTTGTAATTATTGTAAAATGCTTACAACTATCAGGAAATATCCTGTTACTGCAAAAGCTATAAGATCTGAGTGGTCACAAGATAAAATGGATTTATAATAAGTAATAGAAAAACTTTAGGACCATACTGGAGTAGAGTTCCACGAGACAGAGTGCAGTGGAAGGAGTTGGAGAAGGCCTATGTCATGATTCATACCGAGCTTTGGGATATCGTTTAAATATGTAAAACTATGTAATTGTATTTGTTACTGTAATAACTGTAAACTCGGAAATAAAGGTATTAGTATTATTATTAATAGAAAAACTTGATATAGAATACCTTTTCCAAAAACTTCTGGCACCATATAAGGGTAGATCCAGCCGACCAGTGGTGTTTCTCCGGAGTAATAATGAGCAAGCTTATGGTAGAACAGCAGACCATCCAGTGGTGGGTTGAAGTTTGGAAAGTGTGGTGCTTTCATCATGAATCTGGAAGAGAATTACACTAGTATTATTGATCTAATTGAATAATATAATAAGATTATTGTAACTTTGTAAGTATCATGAATGATTATAATTATTAGCAAAAAGAAGACTCCCTTAGAAGGATGGGAGGTTCAACAATGGACTTCTTGCACTTTACATTCCCTTTTTTTTAGGAGAGAAAATCATCCTATCTGTTCTCCCGCCTTAGCATCCGAGCATAGTGATTAATGCTTAAACCTTCTCCGTATGAGAAGAGATCTTTGGTCATCAGTTGCGACTTATAGGCTGTTGAAGTGTGAAGTCAGAAAACAAGCAGACAGAACACCTGATGGTAAGCAAGCGTATGATCGATGGTAAGAAACACCAGAGAATAATTACATTCATGTCCTTCTAAGTAGACTCCACTCCACATTACATTGTGTTTAAAGTTTCATAACATGACATAACAACATAAGATAACATAACATAACATAACAATATAACATAACATAACAACATAACATAACATAACATCACGCCTTTTATCCCCGAAGGGGTACACAGAGATGTACATTATGCCACTGTACAATGTAACACTCACTTTTCACTATATATGTTATGAGTCCCATGTAATAGGGGGTGAGCCTATTGCCATATACCGGGCACAATTCCGGACTCCGTGCTACTACTGTGAATTTTTTGAAAAACTCTGTAATACTTTGCCCGACCCGGTAATCGAACTCGAGACCCTTGCCCGGCAGTCGCACTTGCGACCACTCGGCCAATGAGGCAGTCAAGTTTAAAATTTCAAAGTCGTAAAATAGTTCTGTTTACAAGGAACATAATACTTACTCATTAAAATTCTCCCGAGTGCACAATACTTTTGGTAATATTTTGAATATTAATTTATTTTTCTTAGATATCCTCTCTAATTCCGGTATGTCACGGAAGTGGCTTTCCATCCAAAAATGTCTAAATTCCGTCTGAAATTATAGAAAAGAAACATAATTATAATTACGTTAATCATTATTCAATTGTAATTAAACTAAGCTAAAGAACCAATTCACATTGTCACCCAAATAATATTTTTATACAAATAGTACAAATGATAACACGGTTAGTGCGGTGGCTGGGCAACCGGCTGCCACGCAACGTGTCGCGGGTTCGATTCCCGCACGGATCAAATCTTTGTGTGATCCAAAAATTGTTGTTCCGAGTCTCGGTATCATGTGTATGTGCTTGAATGTTTGTAAACGTACCCACGACACAGAAGAAAATCCTAGTGTGGGGCAACGTTTTTACAAAAAAATAATAAATATAATAATGAAATAAAAATAAATTAGTACAAAAATATTTAATTTAAACAACGAACCTCTCCGTCAGTCATTGGCTGAGTATTCCAAGCCAGTAGGTCCAAAACATACATAATATTTGAGTTTTCAGGCTGAAAACAGTCCAGGATACAGCATCGGTTCTTTAATGCTCCAGAACCACCAGGCAATGCTGTTTTGTATTCACCCCTAAACTGACCATACTTCGAATATAGTTTTGTTGTACCCTGAAATTAAAAATTTATAATTAAGTTATCATCAATATTTCTTTTTATTTATAACTAATCCCAAAAAAAAATTGCAGTGTATGGCGAACTTAATGCCTAAAGTGGTAAATCCCTAAGTGGTCACCGGTGACTGCTCTCCACTAACTCCATTATAGACCTTATTTCCGATGTTTAGAGACTACTTTTGTATGTACAAAATTTAGGGTACAATATTTCAACAGGTTAAGGCATTCTCTGACAGTCAACCATAGGGAAGTGCAGTGATATTATAAAGCTAGAGTTAGTTTATACATGCTAATCTCCAGAACTACTGGCTCAAATTTAAGATGTCTTTTTGTGTTAGATAATCCACTTATCGATGAAAGCTATGAGATAGGATTAACAAAATCTGGTTACAATCAAGATGAGCTGAGCAGTGGGTGGAAGCACACTGGAAGAGCTAATACAGCAGGTCCTCTTTAATCCGAACCCCCTCTAATCCCGGTTTGATTCCATTTCAACAAAGTTCAAAGTTCGGATTAAAGAGGTCCTGCTGTATGTTTTAATTATATTTTTCAGTTTAAATACCTGATTAAAATATTATGAAATTATATACTTACTCTATTAGCCACAACAAGTGTCCTAACTCCTTTCGGACATGGTACTACATACCAATTTTCGTGGAAATCTTCTGGTTGTTCAACCATCCACTCGGACAACATTAGAACATTGCTGTACGCACACCGCGTGAAACCAGCTACAAAGATCTTTGGTTTATACAAAGCCTGGAAATAAATTAATAATAAATAAATAAAAAGATGATTATTATTAAACACAATTATTATCACATAATTATGATTTTAATTAACACTTATCTACATTTTTTGTATTTATTAAAACATGGTTTACTAAAACCCGGATGGGAATTTTTTACTTTAAGATATATTAGAATATGGCACCTAAAGTTAGTATAGTCTTTTGCTCATCCCATGGCAAACTTAAGTAATGCAATCTCTGTCTCACGAAGTCACAACATCATACAGATTCATAATAAAATTATGAATTTATCTCACAACAATAGCCATATTAAGTATTCTATGGGTTACCTTTTTTTCTTGAAAGCAGTCATTGTTTTCTGCTGCATCTACTAATGCCAATATTCCTCTACATGTGTCCACTAAATTGTTCCGCAGCCTGAAAAAGAGATTTTTATATAATTTAGAAAAATGTTACCAGTTAGACTTCTTCATAAATTATTGGTTTTATGTCACACTATTTTCTTTATTTAAGGAGTACCCAATAATGAAAGAAATACTTCAAGCAGATACCAAAGGGTGTGATTAGTTCTATTATATCTATGAGGTCTATAAAAGTCTTAAAAACACCACTTCAGTGTTTAAAAACAAAACTTAAACTTACGATTTCTGAGCATCAAGAAGATCTTTTCTCCTCTGTTCTTGATTGTCCCCTTTTTGCTTGTACAGGTCAATAAAACTAGTTTTATTTAATTGATCTAATACTTCGTCCATAATTGCGTGTCTATTTGATTTTCAGTGAAGAATTGAAAGATTTAAACGACCAAGATGGACACGGAAGATGTCTCTAATAAATATTCGAAGTGATATAATTTATAGCAATATAACGCTTTCGAAAATAACAAACTTATTTGTTTTGTCACATAAATCAGAAATTAATTCATTGATAACACAATATTCACATCAAATTAAAATAAACACATGTACAACTGTCAAGTCAAAACTGACAGTTACGGCCGGGCCGGGCGGTATACTAAGTAATGTTGCACAGTTAAGCTGCTGTCTATAATTTAGTCGACTATGATATGGTTAAAATATTTAAAAAAGCTATTGACAACCATACAACGTTCCTATTTGTAAGAAAACACTATTTTTTCTATAAAATTTATACACAAAACAATACAACCACGTTACAACTACAATATAAACAAATTACAATCAATAATCGACTATTTGTTTGACTGTCATCTAATGTCTATTTAGGTAATCATAGACTTATTGGTACATTAGTGATGTAAAAAGACATTATAAAAGCGGGAGCTATAAAAATGAATATTTTCTAGTTACTACATTTTAACCCTATCATCAAATATAAACCGTATAAGATAAAAGAGATAGACCCTAGTAGTAGTATTTGTAAAGATCGTAAAATCTTTACTAGTCTGTATGTTTTCAATTTATAGATTTTTTGTAAAATAGAGCATAGTAATTCACTATAATAATAAACATAAAATCAGTTACATCGCAAACATAATAGGTATTCTAGGTAATCACAAGGTACCTATGCACATAATAATTTGTGCCAACTATTTATGGCATTAAGCACTATTTATAAACCCCTGTAACAATTTACAGCTTCATTTAACCAAAGAATCTAAACGGATCTAGAGATCAAGGCCGTTAAAATAACGGCGGACATAATGTTATTTAGAAATTATTGAAGCACCAAAATATCAGTGGATCTTATATGCATGTGTGTCTAATGGGTTACCACGTTAGGTACATACTTAAGAAATTGACAAATGTCCTTCGGGCCAATGTGTTTATGTACTGCGTGAAACTCTATAGTAGACAGGAGCCACAGTCGTTGTTTTAAGAGACTATTCGCATTTTTTTCAACGTCCTTGGTAAAGAAACTCAAGGTAATAGTCTTATTACTTAGTAGGTGAGAGGTGACTAATTAAACATGGACCTAAAGAATATTTCTTTTAAATAATATTTTTTTAAATACTGATTGATGCGTATTAGTGTTATTAACTTAATGGAAGTGGAAGATCTTGTGGCTAAAATATATTTATGGTTTAATTAATTTTAATAAATTTAGTAGAATACCCAATAGAACAAAAAAATAATAAATTTTTAACTAGAAGTAAAGTCTCACACACACACCGCTTGTTGATATTTCGTGTAACGCTCATCGTCATCAGCAGAGCTCTAGTTAATATTGGTTAGTAATAATAATAGTTACTGTTTGTCAAAGATAAATTAATTGACGAGTTAAACCGCTTAAGTGATAGGTGATAGTTACTTATATGGGTGGCTAACAGAGATAGGATTATTTTACGATAATGCTATCAGAATCAGGATGAAACTGATATGATTTTTACTCCTCATCATAGGTTTACCTAGGGTCTAGGCGCCAGGTATGGAGAAAAATACTACGACACGACGTTGTAGAATATGTATGGAAATCTAGACTTTCCATTTATATGTTGATGAAGTGTTAATGTTAAGGCCTTACAATCAAGACAAGAAATAGGTCAACTAAATTGACCAAAAAACGTAATTTGTGCTTGGTATTGAACTGCCCAAAATTGTTAATAACAAACAATTAAAAGTCATTAATATAGTATATAATTATACATATAAATCGATTAAGTCTTATTTTTATTTTTAATTTCCTGCACTATGCATTCCTTATTCAAATTTACCGCGAATAATAGCTAGTAGCAGATTATGTGTTCCTTTATATTATTAGTCGGTTTTACGTAATTTGTTGCCCCGGTGTTTAAAATATTTAATTAATAAAACTATTATTGTCATCAATTTATGTTAATAATATCTATATTAGCAGATGGAAATTATCCATTTCAATACTTTTAAGATTCACTTAATAGGAAGTGGTGTTATTACTAAGAAGTCTTTCCCCAAAAACAAGGGAATATTATTTCTACATATCCTCAAATGTCTAATGACTCATATTATAAAATGAAGTCATATTGGTCAACGCCTGTTAAATACTAATTAAAAAGTTAAATTTAAAATCCGAAACTAATGAAGTAGACCCAAAATAAGTATTATTTGCGTAAACGCATGGACAGTATAATTTATTTTGAATAAAGTTCACAAGTAATACCATACAAAATGTGGTTTATGGTAAACCTACTGCTTATTTTATTTAGAAAACCTAAATTTTCAAAAATGACTTAGTGATTCGCATTGCGATAATATTTTATTATACATAGGTAAATTTAATTTTAGCTTGGCAACCCTCTTCGCCAGTCAACGGACATAGCCGACAAATTCCGAACGTGTGATTAGGTCACGTGGTACTCTTGGAGTCTTCGTCGTGGCGTAGCTTGTTCAGCTGCTCGTCGAAGCGGCTGTCGGACGGTCGCCTCTCAGCGAGTCTGCGTACGATGTAGCGGCCATTTTTATTCTAACTTCTAATAGCGTGCGCATATTTTAATGTATTTCGAGGGACTTTTAGGCAATTTTCACGATGACTATAATAGTTTTCCTAATAGATACTTCAGCCTCTATGAACCAAAGAGCTTATTTGGGCGGACGCCCAACGTTGCTCGATGTAGCCAAGGGCGCTGTGGAAACGTTCGTAAAGGTACGTGCAGTGTCATCGACTCGTCAACCGCCTCATTTTTGTGATCGATTTGTTTATCCCGTGTTAGTGTGTTGGACTGATTTATTTTATTTCCTAGGTTCGTCAACGTTCCCCCGAAAGCCGAGGCGACAGGTATATGCTTCTAACTTTCGAAGAACCACCCGCGAACATCAAGGTTAGTATAACAGAGTGAACACGTTAACGAAGAATTTCTTGTGGATTGTGCATAGGTGTGAGTGTTTATGCCGGTTTGGTAGTGTCTAAATGTCAACCACTGTAATCTGCAATCCAAGAACATTTACATATTTTGAAAGTGCGAAATTTACTGAAATAGACAGCACGACGTAAACAGGACGAACCGCCGCCGTTGCTGCCTTCGCGATAGCGCTCGCTACTGCGCGCTCGTCGCACATTCTCATTGGCCGAGATCGCACACTACGAAATGGCGATTCGGGGGGGAAATTCAAATTCAATCATACACATCAGTGTTAATATCTTATAAGTCTGATAATATGTATTGTTCTGAATGATGTATGGTGTTGAATGATAACATACATTCAGACACTTTATTTTGAGATCATTGGTTTATGGCACACCACACCCTCCAACACTTATCACACCTACAAGCTATAGTTACCTATTTATTAATTAGACCTCATTATTGATGAGTTGTGTTATCTTCTCTGTTGTTTCAGGCTGGGTGGAAAGAGAATCTTGCTACATTTATAAATGAATTGAAAAATCTGCAATGTCTGGGCCTGACTACAATGGGTGCAGCATTGAAGCATGCTTTTGATGTTCTAAACATTAATCGCATGCAGACCGGCATTGACACATATGGCCAAGGAAGATGTCCATTCTATCTTGAGCCTTCTGTTATTGTTGTTATAACTGATGGAGGGAAACTTTCAAGTAATGCTGGCATTCAGGAAGAGGTGAGTAATTGTTCTATTTTTATAACTGGTTTTCATTACTTATTCTATTTGGACATAATACTTTAACTGCAGAAGTAGAATATAAGATTTTTAATGCAATTCACTTTTAGTCCTTAATTCCCTTTATGATAATGTCTTATCAGTATAAGATGTTTGTGTCTTCAAGAACAAAAGAAATCTTCTTAAGAATCAATCAATGAAGGTTTGGTTTATATTAATATTATTTTCATTTAAAAAAACATAAGTACTAAACATTTTTATTTCTACAATTTTTTTATACTTTTATTGTAGTGTAGTTATAGAACCATACATTTAGCGTTACTTGAACTGACATAATTTACTAATCTTATCTTAGTTTTATGCTTACTTCTTTTTTAAATAATGATTGCTTCAAACCAACTTAACATTTCTAGTGATGTATTTTAGTTATGGCTTAGGTACTTACTTATATTATTTAAATATTTTTATAGAGAAGAAAAACAGTTGCTCTTTAGAGTGTTAACAGTGTCATTTATGTGATAGGCACTTTCTACATTATGTAAATCACAAGTTTAACTTTGTAATTTGACATATAACTTTTAAAAAACAAAAACAATATGGTTTGTCTATCAAGTTGTTCTATAGAATTATCACTGGGGAAGTAAAAGTGGGACAATAGTGTTATCCATACATATACAAACCATAATTTTTACTGGTTAATTTTTTTAACCATGCATTGTTCTCTCAAAGCCTGTTGCAATACACTGGGCACAATTCCAAAATCCATACAAGTGAGAGTAATGTAACTAAACACAAGCACCTAAAACTTAGTATTAAAATAAACTACTGTCATATTTACTGTACTATTTACATTAATACTTGATTAAATCATGGATTAATATCCACATCGGAGGTCAATAAACTTAAACTCATCTTGAATGAATAATTAAGTAATAATCTCTATGACGATTGCCTTGATGACCATTAGTAAGATTCTTGTTAATGCTATTTAATTGAAATTACAATCAGAACATATTATTGTAAATATTGTATTTTTGCTGTGAAGTTTCTTATGAGAAAAGCTATTTCATAGGCTAAGATGTTTTGTTTTTTTTTAAAAACACTTTGTGTACTAATACTACTAAAGAAAAAATATTACATAGGGTCTTAGTTGTAATTATTCAATAGACAAATATGTAGTTACTCAGAAAATACTGGACTGTTTTTTTTTTAATGTTCTCCCTCAAAGAGGTCACATTTCAGGTAGTAACTCTTTATCCCGACTACGTTTTTTTTTAATTCTCACGGGCGAGGCGCAATGTACATAGTAATTGTTACACAATAAAAAGTTTAAATACCCAGGCATTAAGGTTTCATCTCTCCTGAGCATACCTTAATTTCCACAATCTAATGTGCTTTTCCTATCTTATCTAAACAGGGCTCAAGTTAAATTGGACTTCAAAAACGACACAAATGACACGTA